TATATATATATATATATATATATATATATATATATATATATACACACTCAAGCACATTCTGTGTCATGAAAATGGTGTGGCAAGTCCTTCTGTCTATGTGTTTATTGTCTTTTATTGGTTAATGAATAAAGAACTGCTTTGAGCCTATGGCAAGGGCAGAACAGAACTAGGCAGGAAAAGCTAGGCTCTATGCTAGGAGAGTCAGAGAGATGCCAGGGAGCTGATACCAGATCCAGACATGCTGAAACTTTGCTGGTAAGCCACCGCCACGTGGCAGTACACAGATTAATGGAGATGGGTGAAATTAAAATGTAAGAGCTAGTGGATAAGAAGTTAGAGTTAACAGGCCAAGCAGTGTTTTAAATAATATAGTTTCTGTGTAATTATTTCAGATCTAAGCTAGCTGGGTGGCCGGTAACCAAACAAGCCCACCTCCTTCTACATGAAAAGACTTCCATAAGACTGGCAACCACCACTATTCCTTTTGATGGCTTTGCAAATTTAAAGGGCATCCCTTTTATCTCATTCTCTGGTAGATGCTCTGAGATAGATTTTAGCATTACTAAGTGCTCTGTAGCAGTGAATTTTGAAATCAAGAAAAATACATTTAAAAGCCCAATTTAATAAAGTTTTGTACTAAAGGGATTTGAAAGTGTATACTACAAACCAAGGAAATTGCACTAAATTCATTCATATCTGTTTCATTAACCCCTCTCCAACCTTCCAAAAGTCAGCAGAGGAAAGAATCAATTGATCAGAATTTAACCATTAATAGGATTTAAAATAGGATTGAGATTTTAATTAAAAATCAACTTGAACTTACACAGAAATGTGTAAGAAAAAATAATATCCATAGATGGAAAAATGATAAAAAAATCAAGAAGAAAAGCAAATATTTGATTGATGTTTCCTTTACCAGTTCAATGCTGTTTATCTCTAGTACCAATCCATTTTACCCACTGTCTACCACTCATTTACAGTTTGACTTAAACAGATTCATTTTTTATGCAGTTCATGTATTCTCAAATGAGACTTCTTTTATTATGTCTTTAAATAATATATGAAAGCATATGAATTGGTAGACAGAGTTGTGGGCTGAGGTTAAGTATCTCTGATAGAATTCAAACGTATTTTGCAAATTTCCCTTCAACAATTGATTATAATAACTGATCCAATAAAGGGAGAACTTCTTGCTCACTCAGCTACTAAAGTAATGAAATGGTGGTCTTAAGCAACATGGTGTCCTAGTCACTTATTACTAGATCCTTGAAATTGAGTTTTTGATTGCAGATATAATCAATTCTCACTCACTGAAGCCTCAATACATGTCACTTTTTAAAAGGTAAGATGAGCATATAGTTCAGTTCTTGTCACTTATCAAATGATAAGCCCTTAGGAACTATAGTTCAAAGCAAACAAAAGTAAAGCAAATAAATACTGGTCTCCCAAGCTGGACTGTACCTCAGTGGTATAGCATTTGTCTATTGTGTTTGGAAGCCCTGTTTTCAATCATCAGCAATATAAAAAATTGACAAAAGGGGGGTGATCCCAAACATCTCAAGAGATTGAGATTATCAGCAATGTCAAGAAATTGTCTTATTTATTATTTTTCTAATACATGAATGTAATTTATTCACAAAAAAATGAGGTGTGGTTCAGACAATGACCAGGTTAGCCTTCTTCCTGCTGTTAGAGGGGATATAAGTAAACTCTCAAAGTGTCCTAATCTCAGTTATCAAGACATATGAAGGGTGACTGGGACCAGACTAGGGGCTCTTAATGTTTTTTCCTCTTTTATACCAGAGTTTTATAGACAGGGAAGTCAAGTCTGGCTCTGTACTTCTTCACCACATGTTGGACAACCAACATGGTGATTGGTGGGTAGGACTCAACCCTTCCCTTCATCTGGTCAGTTGTTTAGTGACCAATCCTCCCATCTGAGACATAGAGTGCTGGGATTAGAGTTGTGTCTTTTCACTCCAGGCCAGCCCTGTAGTTTATACCCAAATCCACTCAACCTCCTAACCTCTAGGGTGAGTAATGAGTATTTGAATATTTTCTCCCCCCTCAAATTTCTGACAATACTTTTAATTTTCCTATGATTATCTTACTTCTCAATGAACTTTTAAGAAATGGAAGCATCTACCTGCTGATGCTATTCCTTTGTGGTATCTGTAGCTAAGGTGACATGCTACTCTGGGCTATTCATAAACTAGGTAGCACCCCTTCTCCTGTGTTCAAGGGGTTTAATTTTCTTCTTGGCTTCATTTAACCCATCTCTACTAATCTGTGTATTGGCACTAAGTTGTGGCTTACCGAGTAAAGTTCCAGTATCTGTCTCTGGCAGGGCTAGATAACTTCTCCGTCTCTGCCTTCTTTCTCCCAGCATTCAGTTTAGCTTCCCCTGCCTAACTAAGTTCTGCCCTGCTCTCCTATAGGCTCAAAGTATTTTTCTTTAATTAACCAATGGTACTTACCGTATACAGAGGGGAATCCAATATCATTTTTCTCCTATATTGCCTATTTTCCCCTAGCAAGCCATCATCTGTTTATCATTATTATAAACTATCTCCAACTAACAAAAGAAAATAGTTACTAATTTTAAAGAAGATAGTGTATGCTTTCTTTGCCTTTCTATTTCAAACTCATTGTTACTCTGCAATGACTTCTGTTTTGATATTTGTACTTTCCAGAAGTTATCTCTACATTTTCACTGCTCTGCTAGCAGAACCGTTCAGTCAGACACGTACCTCAGACATTTTATTTCACAGGCATTGTAATTGTACCACAGCAGCCTATTACTCTCTGCTTTGGATTGTGTTCTTCATCTGAGTTTTAGATAACTCGTCTCCTCCTGTTGCTTCTTCTCTTTGTTTTTTAATACATTGTTTTGTGTCTAAACTGCACAGTGTTGATGGGTACTGGCTTTTTAGGGTTCTGTGATTCTCTTTTGCTATTTGATCTTTAGGAGATCCAAGCCAGACTTGTATCATTAACAAGTACTTATGCAAATAGCTTTTCAATTTATAACTTCCGGTCTGACCATCTCCCACAAACCCAAGTTCACACATACTCTTTCTACTTTTAGCTCCTAGTTGGTATCAACTAGATACTGAAACACATCCCAGTCAAAACAACCTTTGTTTCTGTTCCAGATTCTCAGATTCTGCTTCAGGCACTGATAGCTATTTGGAACTCTTCCTCCAGGTCTCTGCATGCTTAACTGTCTCTTGCCTGGGTGTCTGAGCACATTGTACCAAGAACAAACAAATTCCTTTAAGCAAATAACTCTGATATAAATATGTATATTGTTCCTTTGCTTAATGTTCCTTTGCTCTATGTACTTTAGGCTGCATAATGACAAGATTTGTTTCTATTTAGTTTATTATTGTTTTATAATGTCTGTGAATGACTCAACATATGATATTCTCTTAATAAAGAAATACATGAGTTTTTTATTGTTTTTAAAATTTATTAACTGACTAGTGACAGCTAATTTTTCTTATCAGCTATGTTAAGTCTAGTTTCGAACACAAAGGTTAAAAAAGAGAAGGTATAAATTAGGAGGGATGAAGGAAGCAACAAAGGAACAATGGAAAGATGGAAAAAAGGGAGGGAGAAGGGGAGGAGATAAGGGACTGGAGGAGTAGAAAGGGAGAGGAGTGTAGGAGGAGAAATAATTTTGGCTCAGAATTGCACTTTGTATTCATTGCCCTGAACTCTGAATAAGAGAAAGAGAAAGCATGGATGTTTTAATGAGTTTTGCCACTTAATAACCTGTGAGTAAAGGCAGGACACCCTTCTTTAGTGTGCTGTGTTGATAAGGCAGCTGTTCAAAGAGGTACATGCAAGAGTCCATATTAAAGTTCTTTGGAAACAGTTCTAGTTTATGGTTATGTTAGACCTATAAAGAAGGCTGTTAATGCCTCTTAAGATCATGATTGGAATATTAAAAACTACTCACTTTTTTCATACAAAAACAAATAAAAATAGTACAACGTATTGGTCAATTTCCCTGATTTTAGAAGATATTTATTCACCTTTAAGTTTTTATTTTTATTTTTCTGTTATATTTTTACTTGTAATTATTTTTTGCACTTTAAAGTGAAATATAATTGCATCATTTCCCATTTTTTAACAGTTGACATGTCATTTTAATTGTCATAATTTTGTATGGAAAGCATCTTAATTCCAATTCAGTGGGTAAGAAAAGACCCTAAATGTTTATATTCATCTTCCTAAAGCCATATGGAAGAATCCAAAGAGTTTGGATCCACATCAAGATTACTAACTATCATAGATTTTAGTGTAAGATAGATGGTAAGAACAAGAGAGGAAGAGACTGAGAAGCTAAAATATGCAGGGAAACTATGGTGTATAGGAACTAAAGAAGATTCATCAATTCATTTCTTTTATCTGTAGCTCTGTGTCCCGCGCTACCGTCTCGCCCGCAAGAACGACGCGGGACACTTAGGATTCTTCTGCAGTAAAGCTTTATGCGTCTTGAGAGGGAGAGCATAAGCTTACATGGCGGAGACCCAGAATGAGGGGAACCCAGCCCTTATAAAGGAAACAGTCCTTGCTTCTGACGTGTCACTCTTGGATTGGTCCGCTGCCCATTATCCCAGATGATGCCTTGGGAGTAGGCAGGGACGCAGCGGTAGAGAGTTAACAAGCACATGCGCTGGGATTAAAGGCGTGTGCTACATCACCTTGAACTCACAGAGATCTGCCTGTCTCTGCTTCCCAGGCATTGGGACCAAAGGCGTGTACTACCACGCCTTGAGGTCACAGAGGTCAATCTGCCTCTGCCGCCCAGGCATCAGGACTAAAGGCGTGTACCGCCACACCTTGAGGTCACAGAGGTCAATCTCTACCTTTGTTCCTAGAAGCAATGGAGAATGTGGTCCGGCCCTCCACAGCTCTGATTTTAAAAAAAACC